CCAAATAAAGTGCTTTTGCTTTCGCACTGAAACACAGCGTCTCTCTGACATGGCTACATCAACACGACTGCTGTTCCTAAAACCACGCCTTCTTTCTTTGCTTGCACATTTGGGTGGCATTATGCTAATATTTCCACATAGTGACGTAGATATGTGGGGGCGTGTTAGAACGAGCCATTTTAGGTAGGTGTGGCTGACTCTTAACTTTTATAAAGAATATCTCTTTGGATTTGAGACTTTAGTGTTTGCAACTTTACAGATCTTCTTTATGCACCAAGAGCTTGTAACACTCCAAAGAGAAAGGAAAAATTTAAATCGCATCATATGACCCCTTTAAAATTTTTAGTTAACAATGGCTAAACTGTCTGGCATCACAGTGTAAACCGTTTCAGATTATGAAACCCTCGAGTTGAAAACAGAGGATTTACATGAGCTTCATCCCAACAGCCGTGTGGCCCGGAGACAGAAGGGATGAATGATTTTACCAATTATTTATATGATTCGGCAAACAGCATAATCCTCTTGGCTTGATGTCTTATAAATTAGTGTTTCCTGTTAATATCTTTTGCCGCAAGTTTGTTTCACACACCCATAAGGAAGTGGTGAGGAAGGAGAGCATTGAAAGCATCTGTACGTGCGATCAGCCAGCGGAGGCGGTTCGAAGCACATGTCAGATGAAATGACGTTCCCATATGGAGCTTTAATGGGAATGATTAGGAGCAATGGCTGACTAAATGGACTCGTTTTGCTCTGACAGACCATGGGTTTGATTCACAGCAGCCACAAGAATGGAGCTGGAAAGGGAGAACAAAGCTTTCGGCTAATGATAGAGATCTTGTTAGAAGTCAGAATGCATGTTTAGTTTGGGGTCGCTAAGATAAAAAAAAAAATGTATGAAGTCTCTAATACTCACAGAGGCTGTGTTTATTTGATAAAAATACAGTAAAATCAGTAATATTGTGAAATATTATTGCAAATATTAATACAAATATTTTTACATTAAAATATCTGTTTTGTATTTGAATATAAAGCATAAAACAGACGTGTTTGTGTATTATATATATATATATATATCGCATTCAAAATACAAGTTTTTGTTTACAGAATATGTGTGTATGTACTGTGTATATTTATTATGTATATATAAATACACACACATGCATGTATATATTTAAGAATTTGTTTTTTTTAATATATTAAATATATTGATAAACAATATATATATATATATATATATATATATATATATATATACACACACACACACACACACATATATATATATATATACACCATTTTTTATGTTTTTTTATAGGAGTTTCTGCTCATCAAGGCTGCATTTATTTGATCAAAAGTACAGGGAAAAAAATTATATTGTGAAATATTATTATGATGTAAAATAACGTTTTTTCTATTTTAATATACATTAAAATGTAATTTATTTCTGTGATGCAAAGCTGAATTTTCAGCATCATTACTCCAGTCTTCAGTGTCACATGATCCTTCAGAAATCATTCTAATATGCTGATTTATTATCATGTATTTTTTGGAACCTGTGATAATTTTTTTCAGGATTCTTTGATGAATAAAAAAAGTTAAAAAGAACAGCATTTATTCAAAATAGAAATCCTATGTAATATGAGTCACACTCATAAACATAGCCACTTGTTCAGAGCGTCTGTATGTGTGTGTTTCAGTTTGTTCCTGTTGAAGAGTGACCTGCAGTGGAGTGAAGATGCAGCAGATGTCCTGGGACAGGGTGGCAGCGGCACCATCATCTACAGAGCCAAATACAGAGGCCATCCGGTGGCCATTAAACGCTTCCACTTCAAGAAATGCAAACAGCAGTCGCTCAACAGCAGCACAGGTACATCACGGTCCTCTACTGCCCCTGCACTTCCTCCCAAACCAGCCTCTGTTATCTTTATCTCGCCGCGCTGGATCCGCTCGATGAGTGATCGGAGAGTCAGGCGATCGGTCAGTGTTCCTGCAGGCACATGTAAGGTCAGAGGTCAAAGCGCTGTTGTTCTCCTCAAGTCTCGCAGCGGCTCTGACTGATGGAATTTCCTGTTAACAGAGAAACGTTAATCCTCGCTGGATTTCTCCCGCTGTGTGTCTTTCTCCGATCCAAAACCTACTGAGCTGCAGAATTTAATGAGACTAATTAATTCAAGGGAAATTCTCTGAACACGTTATCATCTTACACAGTTTTGCTTCTTGTAAGTCAAAAATTATGATGTTAT